ATTTCTAAATAAATATTTTACCTTGATTTGAAGCCCTCTGAACAACTTTGGCTTGTCAAAACATATGTCAAATCAAATTGTCAAATCATCAATGTTTGGGATGCTACTCTGATACTGTAGCTTGATAGAATATAAGTTACTAATCAGGAAAAGTAGCTGTCAAAATACTGTGTATTTAAATGGCCTCTTTGCACAATGATCTATTAGGACACACACTGTAATGAAGCACCACTGTGTACCAAGAGCATATGTTTTCCATTAAGATGTTTCCATGTTATTTAGAAATGCGCCACTTTACAAACTATTTTTAAACTTTGGGCATCATTCTGGTAGGGCAAGACAGAACATATGCCAAAAAAGAAAAGAAAACGAGGACAGTAAAATTTGCCAGATTTTCTAAACTATTAGTCAAAACACAGTGTTAACAATTTCCTGCAGAATCTACAGTAACTTACTGGCAGCAGTTCACCAGTAACTTACTGTAAATCAATTACAGTAAAAGTACTGTATTTATTTACAGCACCATTTATCTTATTGTATATGCATTTGCAGTATAGTGTATCTTTACTGTAAATATATACAGTTATTTTCACAATGCAATTTTAAAAATACGGTAACATACTGGATTACTGCTCTACAGTAAAATACAGTTCATATTACAGTTTAATACTGTGTTAATAGTGCACTGCTAACAATGTCCTGTAGAATCTACAGTAGCTTGCAGTAAACCAATTACAGCAAAAATACTGTATTTACTTTCACAGCACTCTCTCACTCTTAATGCATATATATTCAGTAATTTTCACAATGCAACTTTAAAATACAGTAACATACTGCATAACTGTCCTATAATAAAATAGTTCATATTACAGTTAAATACTGTGTCATTTACAAAAATCGTTAATAGTGCATTGTTAACAATGTCCAGTAATATCCACGGTAACTTACTGTAAACCAATTACAGCAAAAATAATGTATTTAAATTTACAGCTCTAGCTCACTGTATATGCATTTACAGTATTTTTATATCTTTACTGTAAAAATATACAGCAATTAATTTGAATCATCTTAAAAATTTAAGGCAACCAGGATTTTTTACAGTGTATAGATGCTTACACACTTTTTCCATTGTTTAGAACCCATTTACTAGATTTTGCAGCAGGATACACACACAGTGTGTTAACAGTTAAACAGCCAACAAAAAAAGTGTCTTTTACAAGAATTTGGAGAAATCTGAGCTGCATCCAATGTTTTTTAATGCACTCACCTAATATCACCCCTAACCCTACCCCTCACAGTGACGTTACTAGCTATATTGAGTGCTTTAACCGTGTCTGACATTGCATTATTGAGATATGCAGTCTCAGCTTGCATTATCAAGGCTGTATTCAGATACTATTGAGAATTTCCAACCATGACAGAGCTGGTGTTGTGTCTTTCTTGATCCCCTGCCAAATTATTACCCCCTGATGGAAGCTGCTACTACCTGCCTAATCCAAAACCTAACCCCTAATCCTAACCCCTCCCCCACTCCTAAACCGAGACCTAGCAGAACAAGGGGATAATAATCTGATGGGGGTCGAAATTTGATCTGTTTTCAAGTATAGCTACAAGACAAATAATGGACTACATTTAAATCTTTTGTAATATTTAAAATTAAAAACTGAATGTAGTTCTGTTACGAAATCTATGTTGCTATTCTGGTAGGAAAGTCAGAGGGCATTGTGTGGGGTATGAGTTATCTGTGTACTAAAACATCTAAGGAATATTCCAAAAGAAACTCGTTATGCATAACATGGTCTTACTCAGAATTAAATTACTGATGTCCATGTAAAGACTCCCAGTGAGTTAAAATAGTTTTGAAAAAGATATCCAATCAGATTGCTTATTTAGTTGCTAAACACTGTTAAAATGTCACATTTAGGTATTTGAATGGCAAAAAAAGATTCTGTGAAACTCAGGATTCTGTAAAGCATTCTGGAATGGATGAATGGCACAACAATTCATCCAAGAGCGGTCTATCAAAATGTGCTTGTCTTTTCATTGTGAACTGGTGACTAACGCTGTTAGGAGTAATTAAAACAGAATGACTCCAAGCACATTTTGTAAATCTGTGAACAGCATGATGTGCCAAACACGCGGCATTAATCAGTGATTGAGAGCTCTCCATTCGCAGACTATACAAATTTACTTCAAATATATATAAGAAATGCACACTACTGTTCAAAATCTGGGGTCCTTTTCAAAGTACATTCCTGTAATACACAAGGATGCATTAAACAAATCAGAACTGACATCAACACTTACGCTTTCTCGTTATCAAAGTATTTTTGTCATATAATCATTTGCCAGAAATAAAGTAAAATAAAAAACAATTATTAAATTAAAGCACTTCAGTTTCATTTGTATTTCTCCCTTTTTTATTGCCATTATTATTTTTGCTGTCATAAATTGTTTTGTTTTTTTCGCAATCGTTTACCTTACTGAAATGCAGATATTTTGTATATTCTGATTTATTTACAGGAAATTCACAGACCATTTAATCTAAATGATTTCTACTTTCACTTCTTCAAGACATGTTCAGAATTAGATCAACTGGACAATGAATTTGCTGAACTTCATTCATTCATTCATTTTCTTGTCGGCTTAGTCCCTTTATTAATCCGGGGCCACAGCGGAATGAACCACCAACTCATCCAGCAAGTTTTTACACAGCGGATGCCCTTCCAGCCGCAACCCATCTCTGGGAAACATCCACATACACACACACACACACACTCATACTGTGGGGGAAACCGGAGCACCCAGAGGAAACCCACGCGAAGGCAAGGAGAACATGCAAACTCCAAACAGAAACGCCAACTGAGCCGAGGTTCAAACCAGCGACCCAGCGACCTTCTTGCTCTGAGGCGACAGCACTACCTACTGCACCACTGTCTCGCCCCATTTGCTGAACTGATATATATTTTTTGATGTGGGGCAGCTCTGGAGGGTCAGTGTCACCCTTTTCCCTTTTCTTATGATCATTATATAACCTATTTAACTATTTGTTATGGCCCAATGTCAATACCTGTACATTAATTTCACTTTACAGCACATAATGGTCATATAAAATCTATATGTACAAAAAAATCTATAATAGAAAATAAATTAAAATTGGTTAATAAAATGTTTATTGTGGACTTTGCAAAGGTGCAACATTTCTCAAGTCATCATGACTACTGGTAATTTAGTAACAGATATTTGAATTAATTAATACTAGTGAATTAATAATTCAAATAAAGTTTTATTACATATATGCCAATGCAAAATCAATTATGGGTACATTTAATGATAATTTCTATTGCTCAAAATCTTCCAGTAAGGCTCAACAGAAGTATGTCAATCACAACAACACTGAATATGTATATGTATGTATAATATGTATGAATAGGAATGAGTGTTTGAATGTTTTCCAGTGATGGGTTGCAGCTAGAAGGGCATCCGCTGCGTAAAACATATGCTGGATAAGTTGGCGACTCATTCCGCTGTGGTGACCCCAGATTAATAAAGGAACTAAGCTGAAAATGCATGAATGTATTAAATTTTTATAGTAAACGTTTAAATTACAGCTTGTAATCGACTGTATTAAACCTTAAAACATCTTGAAATACCTCTGTGGGCTTTAAATAATAAACTTAGCATCTCTTTAAAGTGGTACTTACCTGCTACTTAGCTGGGGTGCTTCTTCAAAAACCATCGTTAGCCAACTAAGGTCGCAAGTTACGCGGTTACAAACATAGTTCATTGATTTGCCGTTTCCCAAATCCATCGGTCCAGTGAACATTGGCAAACTATGTTGCAAACTTGTATGCTTGCAACTACATCTCTAGAGGTGCAGTTTGAAACATAGTTCCTGGCTGTTTTATTCCCAGTTATCCCCCCTATGCCCTATTTGGTTAGAACACTCTAACATTTAAACTTGGAATTATTAAAAAAGCAGTAAAGTCATCAATCTTAGGTGTAATTTGCTTTCAATGTATTTTTACAGTTCAGTTTTAGCGATCTATGTTTTTTGTTGACATTTTGAACACAGCCGTGGCTCATGACGGTGTCTTCAAAGCTTGTGAAAACAAAAAACAAAGCATGCGTTAATGCTTTTAATTTATAGTAGGTTATTTATTTAGTATCTGTACGACATGGGCCTGTTGGTTAGAACATTTCTGCAGTGGTTTGCATGTGTCAAATTGTAAAAGTAGACTTTTAAAAATGTTATAAATAAATAAACAATATCCCACTTAGTAATAATCATCATCATTATTAATATCATTAAAGTATGATTTTTTTCATTTCCTAATAAATAATATGTATAAAATATAATTTCTTAATAAATAGCCTCATTATACATTTATTTATTGCATTTATACATAATATTAGAGTTCGCGTTAGCTAATATGAGAGATTTTATGTTTTAGAATAGGATTTGTAATGTTCTCTATATTATTTGTAAAAGAAACACAGGCCCTATTTGTGTCTATGTGTGCCACAAAGAAATGTTAGGGTTCTTCTCTAAAGAAGTTGTTACTCCACCCCATTTAGAGCATCATTGTGGGCGTTTTACATTATAACTAACATGATTCAAATGATGGATCTGCGACAGAAAAACTAGACAGAGTGTAATGGAAACACTCGTCACTACATTGTTCTTTTCCCAAACTATACATGATAGTACTCTGATAGTTCAGTCGCGAGTTACGTCATTGTTTGGGAAACACACATCCCTGATTAGTTTATAGTAAAATTCATTCATTCCTTTTCTTGTCGGCTTAGTCCCTTTATTAATCTAGAGTAGCCACAACGCAATGAACCGCCAACTAATGCAGCAAATTTTTACGCAGCGGATGCCCTTCCAGCCGCAACCCATTTCTGGGAAATATAGTAAAATTAATATTCAAATTGATAAATATAACTGTAGCAGCCCTTCAGCTTTCAATAAATAGGCAGAGAGTTTTTGACGGGTGCATTTAAAATGGTTTACTTGGATGCAATAAAGTTCATCACATAAATCATCATTGTCTCAGTTCTTTGTTGTATACACCGAAGCATCAAAAGACCAAAGCACCGAAAGCACCAAAAGCACCGTAAAACTAGAGAAAACAAACAACATAGAAAAATAAACAACAAACATTTACAAAACATCTAACATTTTCCAAATAAATCAAACAATAAACAAAACATACCTCGCTCTGCTTGCCGAAGGGACACTAAAAGCTCAAGGCATTCTTCCGAGCTGTGCCTGTTAGCTCGTGAACAAATGTGAATTGCTTTTACTCTGCTTTGTCTCACTTAAATCCTATTAGTCTAGAGCACCCTCCTGTGGTGACTTCAATTAGGGCAAGCAAAGCGAGTGCATTAAATCATGGGCAGTTACACTCCCACCAAATCATGGTATGAATCAAACAAAACAAATATCATACATGATTTTAACTTCAAATTTAACTCACAAAATAAATCCACATACAAAATTAACATTATTTGTCTGATGCAAGAAAGTTGCAACTAATCACTCAACTATAACAACCAATTTTTGGATTGGTCGCTCAATAACTGAATGGTGAACTCATTCAAGAATGGTGCCCCAACCCCGTTTTCTGTTTTTGTTCTCCTGTTTGAACTTTAACGCGTCTAACAAGGCCATCGTTACCTGGAAAAACCTCACCAACCCTACCTAATTGCCATTTGTTTCTAGGAAGCATGTCATCTTTAATGATTACAATGTCATTTACTTTAAGATTACCTTGAGGTACGTGCCACTTCTGTCTTGTGGATATATTCAGGAGATATTCCCTTTTCCAACGACTCCAAAACTGTTCAATCAAGTACTGAACCCGGCGCCACCTTTTTGTAGAATACACGTCTTCCTTTAGAAACTTCCCTGGGGGAGGAAGAGCAGTCTCGGATTTCATTAAAACAAGATGATTAGGAGTTAAAGGTTCTAGTGATTTTGGGTCGTTTATTCCATCCACAGTTAATGGTCGACTATTAACAATAGCCATCGCTTCATAAAACAATGTTCTTAGAGAAGAGTCATCCAGTCTACCAGGGCACAAAGAAAGAGTAGAATTCAGCACATTACGCACAGTCCTAATTTGGCGTTCCCAGACACCTCCTGAGTGACTAGCTGAGGCAGCATTAAAGATAAACTCACACTGATTTTCCGCAAGATATCCCTCCAGTGTTTTGACATCGCATTCCTTAAGAGCCTGTTTGAATTCATTTCTAGCTCCTACAAAGTTTGTACCACAGTCACATTAAAGTTGACGAACAGCTCCTCGCAGACTTATGAAACATCTCAAAGCATTAATGAACATGTCTGTTGATAGGTCTTCCAGCATTTCAATGTGGACTGCTCGTGATGAAAGGCAAGTGAAAAGGCCGTACCTTTTGTACTCCTTTCGTCCCTTTTTTATAATAAATGGACCAAAACAATCCATACCCGTGTAGCAGAACGGGGAAGAGGCTTCAGTACGTTCTTTTGGAAGTTCTGCCATTTGTTGTTCCTCCACTGGTCGCCTTAGTTTCCGACATTGAACGCAGTTGTAGATTAACTTAGCAACCGACTTACTGCCACCAATAATTCAAAATCCATGTGTCCTGAGTTCCATAAGCGTTTGGGACCTTCCTTGATGGCAAATTTTGCTGTGATAGTGTTTTAGAATAAGGTCGGTAATGTGGCTCTCTTTGGGCAAAATTAATGGATGTTTGACCTCTTCGCTAAGAGATGACCCTTTCAACCTTCCTCCAACACGAAGACCATTTTTCAAGATGGGATCCAGGTGGAAAAGTGAACTGGATTTCTGAAGAGCCTTACCTCCTTGGATTGTTTGGATTTCTTGGGAGAAGGCTCGTTCTTGAATAAGCTTAATCACAGCCTGTAATGCACACTTGCGTTCTTCAACGGTGACAATATCCTTAAGACATTTCTTCCTTAATGCTAGCCTTTTTATTCGAGCAACAACATTGATTAGAGTTCTCAGGGAAGAGAAGTGGCCAAATCGATCAAGGAAGTTAGCAGTATCACAACTTTTAGTCAGCCGTACCTGTACAAGTTTGACTTCAGGATCTCCTACTAGTAATTTAGTTGAAGTGTTTGGAGCTGGACACACTTCTTGCTCCCATAAAAATGTAGGTCCAGTCATCCAGTTAGTAGATCTCAACTCTGAAATGAGTAAACCTCTAGAGGCATGGTCAGCAGGATTTTGAGATGTGTTGACATGATAACACTGGCTTGTATTTGTAATTTCCTTGATCAATTGAACACGATTAGCGACAAACACGTGAAACCTTCTTGCTTCATTGTTGAGATATGCAAGAACAACTTGTGAATCAGACCAAAAGAACTCTTGATCGATCATCATTTGCAGTTCAGCTTTTAGCAAAACACTCAGTCTAGCAGAAATCACCGCAGCAGCCAATTCCAGTCTTGGAATACTCTTGATTTTTATAGGTGCCACTCGAGCCTTGGCCATTACTAGGCAACAGTGCACTTCTTTTATGTCACTCTTGACTCTTAAGTAGGAACATGCACCATAACCAAGGTTGCTTGCATCTGAGAAATGATGCAACTCTGTCAATACAATCTTACTAAAGGACGAAGGATAGTAACATCTTGGAACAGTAAAATCTTTCAAGTCCTGGAGACTATTTTTCCACTCCTCCCACCGTGGAATTAAGTCATCAGGGAGAGAATCGTCCCATTCCATATTTCTCTGACAGAGCTCCTGCAAAATGCACTTTCCCTTCAAAAGGAAAGGAGCAACAAATCCAATGGGATCGTATAAGGAAGATACAATTGACAAGATACCTCGACGTGTTGCAGGCTGATCTTTAAATTGAGTGTTGAAACTGAATGTGTCATCCTTTGTAGACCACTGTATGCCAAGAACATGCCCAGACGATTCAGGAGTCAAATTTAGTGGCTTAGAAGAAACCGCCCATTCTGACGAATCAACACAGCGCAAGACTTTTCTCATTTGAGTTAAACTTATGGAGACGTAACCCTCCAAGCTTGCACAGGGTTTGAGCATCTGCAATCAAATCTTTAGTTTCCTGTATAGATGGAACTGAAATTAAGCCATCATCCACATAAAAGTTATTTTTCACAAATGAAGAAGCTTCAGAATACTCAGATTTATACTTCTCTGCGAGATACTTCAGGCCAAAGTTCGCACACCCAGGAGATGAAGCTGCACCAAAAAGATGCAGTCATTCTATATTCAATGGGCTCTTTTATCAAATCCCCATTCCTCCACCATAGGAATCTTAAATAATCTCTCTCTTCAAGGGGGACATGAAATTGATGAAACATTTTTTCGATGTCACATGTCACAGCAACGGCTTCCTTCCTGAATCTACAAAGTACTCCCACCAGAGAATTAATCAAATCTGGACAGTAAGAAGAGTATTGTTAAGAGATATGCCACAGAATTTTGATGAGCAATCAAATACTACTCTTAACTTGTCTGGCTTGTGAGGGTGGTAAACTCCATGATGTGGTATATACAAAGCTGTTTCTTTATCAGGTATTACTGGAGCAATCTCTGCATCTCCCTTGTTGAGCATTTCTTCCATAAAAATCTTGTAATTCTCATAGTACTGTTGATTTGACCTTAACTTCTTACCTAAATGCTGCAGACGTAATAAAGCCAGCCTCTTGTTGTTAGGGAGTGAAGGTGGATTACTGCTCTTGAAAGGAAGAGGTAACTGAAAATGTCCATATTCTTTATGCTTGATGTTATCACTGAGATAACGAATTAAGCGGACATCTTCCTGTGACACATATTTGTCTTCATAACTTTTCTCATTGAAGTCCAAAACTTTCAAGACATCATTAGCTGTTGGAACTCTCATTTCTTTCACAGACACTCGATGAACAAAACTTTGACTTCCTTGTCTGTCTAAGTGGGGATTACAAAGACCAATAATGCTCCAGCCCAGCGCGGTTTTCTGTGCAAAAGGCTCATTTTCCTTACCAATTATGACCTCTAGGGGAGCCAACGCTGAAGGGCAGTCATATCCAATCAATAGTCCTATATCACAACTCTGAAGTGGTGGCATTTCATTGGCTATGTGCTTAAGATGAGACCAGCATAATGCAGTTTTCTTCGTTGGAAGGTGAGCTTTATCCACAGGAATGAAATCACACGTATACACTTGAGGTATTTGGATACATTTCCCACCTTGAAGTCCTCGGATTCGCAGACCACCAACCTTGTTATTTGAAGTAATCGTGTCTGTAGTTGTCATATTACTGAGTTTCAGCTTCACCGCTTGACTGCTCACTTGCAGCTCATCAATAAAATCCTTCAAAATAAAGCTTGTGTCACTTTGTGTAGAGTAAGGCATAGGTAAGGATCTCATTTTGTGGGTCTTCTACTGTGGAGATAAACACTGGAACAATACTAGAAGTAGCAGAGACATGTTGTGTTACTGCATAAGACATTGCCCTTTGGCCCTCTTGACTTGTATATGCTTCTGATGTAATATCTGCTTGGGATACCTCTGAATGTTTGCTTTTATCTTCGTGCAGACAAGTTGGATGACGCAGTCCACATGTTCCACAAATATGCCGTCTCCTACAGTCCCTAAAAATATGCCCTCTTCTCAAGCATCCAAAACACATGTGATTTTCACGAATGAAAGATCTTTTATCATCCATGGGCTTCTATGCAAAGATAGGACATTTGACGATACTATGCATTTCACTCTTACACACAGAACATGGTGATGTTACCTTGAATTCTGGTCTTGAATCTTTTACTTGAGCCTTAATATTGAAAGCTTTTGCTCTTTTCAGATACTTTTCATCTGGAACCTTTGAACTGGCTAGCAGTGGAGAAGTGAAAGGGTTGCAAGCTATCTTTGATTCCTTCTTCAAGAATTCAGCAAATTGCTTAAAACTTGGATAGTCTCCTGTCATATCCAACTCTTCAACAACAATTCTGTTCCATTTACGGACAATCCATTCTGGTAACTTCTTAAGCAACTTGTAATTTTCCTCACAATCATTCAAGATGGACAAACCTTTGACTTGTGGAATAGCTTCAACACAACCTTGCAAGAAATCACTGAACTCTCTCAAGGAAAATGGATCGTTTACTCCCACCTTGGGCCATCTCATGAGTCTCTCTCGAAAAGCACGCTGAATAATGAATGGGTTTCCATACCTCTCCTCCAAGACTCTCCAAGCACCCTGATATGTATTATCCGAGTTCTTATAAAAGAACCCTTCTACGGCCTTACGAGCTTCTCCTGCAAGATAGGTTTTTAAATAGAACATTTTCTCACTTGCTGGGATGGATTTACAATCAATGAGTGCTGTGAAGGACATTTTTCATTCAATAAACTTCAGAGGATCGCCATTAAAAGTGGTTGGTTCTGGAACAGGTAAACAACTTATACTTAAGGAGTTCACTAATGCTTGAGCTAAATTCTCAGTCTCTTTAGTTTTCCTTTCTTCTTGAAATGTTTGTGAAGGTAATGGATTTATCACAGGATTACGTTGAGGTTTGTTTGAAGCTTTTCTTCGTTCAGGATAAATGACATTTCCGGTCTCGTCGTCTTCCAAACTGCTCTCTTCAAGACAACTTTCTACATTGTTATAAGCTTTAACTCGAGCTGCAGCTATGTTGACATCTTTTTCCGTTTGTAACAATTGCAATTTTGCTTTTTCTTCTTCTAACTTGGAGCGCATTTCAATTTCTTTCTGTTTAATATCCGCTAACATTCTTGCTTCTTCCAGCTTCCAGTCATTCTCCAGTTTAACTAGTCGAGCTTGCTGATTGGAAATTTCTTGAATGGCCCTTTTCTGCTCTACTTTAGCCGCAAGTTCTGCCTCTGCATCAGCTCGTTTACTTGAAGCCTTAGAGGAAGTTTCTGAGACAGCTGACAAACTTTCTACAGTCTGTGACGATACTGAGATAATGGTCTCTGTATTGGTACAACCAAATATAGACTCATACTCCTCTTTGTTCAATATCTGCCTAACTCTCTCTTTAACTACTTCCCTTTTTTGAATGACATCAACAGTTTCTATTCGTTTGCTCACCAAATCACAAATTTCTGTACTCAATATGGAACAAACATCTACTCTTCTTACAATCTCTGGAGTAGCAGTTTGATTACGCAGTAATGGGGCATAATGTTGAGTGACAACATCCTGACTAGTTTGAATGTCTTTCAAAATTTGCTCAAGCTCTTCACATGTGCATAAGGCTTTTAATTTACATCTAATTTCTTAAGCTGTCTGTTTCCAGGAAGTATAAGCTTTATTAAAGGCTTTCTCGTGCTTTTTTGTCTCTTGTTTTTGCATTTCTAAACCCTTTTCTGTGGGATTTCTTTTTCGAGAGCTTGATCTTGATCTAACCTGTTGCATTTCTGTTGTACTATTCAGATCTTTATCAAGAACTGACCTTTGACTTGCTTGTGCTGCCATTTGCTCCGCTGTGTCGTCCATTTTGTCTGTCTACAACTTAAATCAGCAACCTGCTTACATCAGACAAATTTAAAAATATTATAGCAAAGGTAATAAGTCAAATCACATGTGCAACAACAGTTAAACTCTTAAGACTTTAAGCACTTTAAAATTGCAAACATTTGTCTAATACATGCATCATGAATATAAGCCCAACATTATACAAACACCTTGAAACATGAGCACTTAAATCATTAGTCACTCCTCATTCTCAAACTTCAATTACTGCATACAAATTCATCAAAGCATACAAATATAAATCCTTTTTTTTCTTTAAAAATTGCAATTATCCCAAAAGTAATAAATAGATAACTATTTTTCCCTTTCTTGTACCTCTGAGTCCACAACGTTTGTTTGCAGTCACCTTTCAGTCTTTCATGAAGAGTTTTCCCAGTTAACCGTGTAAAGTCGCCGTCCTAGTGTAGATTCAGTCTCTTGTAGATGCCATGCAGTGCCACAGACGAGATGAAGGCTTGTAACATGACACTCATGTGATGAATCACCAACGCGATGCAAAAGCCATGTGTAGCAGCGAGTTTTACTGTAGCAGCCCTTCAGCTTTCAATAAATAGGCAGAGAGTTTTTGACGGGTGCATTTAAAATGGTTTACTTGGATGCAATAAAGTTTATCACATAAATCATCGTCTCAGTTCTTTGTTGTATACACCGAAGCATCAAAAGACCAAAGCACCGAAAGCACCAAAAGCACCGTAAAACTAGAGAAAACAAACAAACAACATAGAAAAATAAACAACAAACATTTACAAAACATCTAACATTTTCCAAATAAATCAAACAAAAAACAAAACATACCTCGCTCTGCTTGCCGAAGGGACACTAAAAGCTCAAGGCATTCTTCCGAGCTGTACCTGTTAGCTTGTGAACAAATGTGAATTGCTTTTACTCTGCTTTGTCTCACTTAAATCCTATTAGTCTAGAGCGCCCTCCTGTGGTGACTCCAATTAGGGCAAGCAAAGCGAGTGCATTAAATCATGGGCAGTTACAATAACTTTGTAAGACTACAACTGAATATGCAAAAGGAACAGCACATAATTCCATATCATATCTCTGGAAAAAAAACAAAACACAATTGTGTATTTTCACAATAATTTTATTGTTGTGAAAACTAAATTATTTACAAAGGGATGGATGGGCAACCCATGTTAGCCCGTCAAACAGAGCTTCTCCATGACTACAAGGTGACCTGAAACACATTTAGAAATTGTTTAAATTATCCAACCAACAAAAAGACACAAATAAGGTGGAAAAAGCAAACAAATGTCAATATATCTTTAAAATGATTTGAGCTCATCTAGATAGATGTGGTACCTTGAACCAGTCATGGGAGTGCAGCTCCTCCAGCTGCAGCCTCTGCTCAGGATTGCTCTTGAGGCAACCCCGAATAAAACGGCAGCATTCTGTGCAGAAAGACAGAGAAATGTCAGATTATTACTTTCAACTTTGCACTTGCTCTCTAAGATATAACTGTCATTTTATCAAGACGCCTATGTTATCAGGTAATTGAATGTTTTCTCTATTCTGCATGATTAGGAACTGCAATTGTACTTCTGTAATGTAATAATAGTCTTACCAACTGAGTAGCCCGACTGGGACCAGAGTTCAATGTCCATGTAACAGATGTCACTGCTGTCTGGGAAAAAGCTGGTGATCATTCTGAATAGTAGGACCCCCAATGACCATACCGTCGCCTCTTTCCCATGGTACTCTCCTGTGTCAATAAACTCCGGAGGGCAGTACCTTACTGTTCCTAACAGAAAAGGTTTGTCACATGTAAATGTTTGCTTTAGCACTGCATGTTTTCTCAATTTACTCTGAAATGGTATTTGATTTTGTCAAACTGAAATAATTTAATCTTTGACTCTCCTTATCTGAAAATGCTGTCAATGTTAATGTCTAGAATTTAAGTTACATGTTGAAAAGATAATACATACCACTGTAGGTGTTGTAGGATGATGTTCTCAGGAGGTCCCCACAGCCGAAATCAATAAGTTTAACCTCCAGGGTCTCTGTGTTAACCAAGAGGTTTGGCATTTTGATGTCACGATGGAAGACTCCCCGAGAACAGCAAACAGCAGCAGCGTGAACCACTTGGCGCATAAAATGACGGGCCATCTCCTCAGAGAAGACTCTGTCATGGCTCAGCCAAAATTGGCGCATGTTTATGCAGGGTGAGGGCCACTCTAAGACCATTATATATCGGTCAGGATGGTCTTCCCAATCCAGCATCTGTATTATGTTGTTACAGCTGGGCCCTTGATTGGCCAGCAATGTAAGGGCCACCTCAAGGGGAACTGGATTGGCATGGTCAGGCTAGAAAGAAAGAATATATATTTTTTATCATGGTAAGATGGCTGCAGTTTGTCAAATTAGAACTTAGTTCTGTATGTTCGTCTACTGAAACATTTGTAATCCATCATTTACATTACAATATTATCAAACAGAACAGAAACAACACAGATAGAGCAGTCTACTTACAAGGTTGATGTACGGCTCGTTTTCAACCTTTATTATGAATTTCACAGCCACCTGAAGGCCGTCTTCACAGCGGGTCCCTTCATAAACAGAGCCGCATCCTCCTTGGCCCATCTTTTTGCGAATGGAGTACTTGCTGTGAATGTCATCTAGTAAAATATAAGAGTAACAATTTTTTGTGACATTAACAATGTAATTAATATGAAACAACAGCGAAACGTAAAGTTTTGGCAATATATTAATAAAATATTGTGCTTTTTCTAATCATGATTAATATAGTCATATACAGCAGCATTCTTCTTTATATACATCTTAATACTGTTTCCCAGAATTCTCAGAATTACTTTTCTTACATTTGTAAACACTTTGGGATCAACTGAGAAATAAGAGCTATATTTCTCTTTTCAAAAATCACACAATATTACGTGAACGGCAAATAAAAATGTAAACCCTATCTAAAATGATAAAAGAACCAAAAAACTTCAGCATAATATATATATTCAAAAAAGAGTGTGTGTGTGTCATAATTTAGGTTAAGTAAACTCACCCTTGGTCTTTATGAACGTAGTACAGTCCAGCTGTTTCAGCAGTTGAGATTCACACTCATCTGCTGACGTACTGACTGGACTGTCTTGATCTTCATTTTGGACCTCATCCACTACTACCTCCACGGCAGCGAGGACATTAGGATCACTGGTAGGAGGCTCCTGGTGAACATTGTTCTCCACAGAACAGACAATGTCCTGCAGAGAAGTCTTATCTAGAGAGGAACATTAACCACATCAATTCACTTTCATCTTTGTTTTGTTTATTTGTTGTAATTCTGAAACTTCTGTAAATCTATAATAAATCACTTATCACATCATTTTATCAAGGCATTTATCTTTATTTGTATAATATGTGATGGTGATGTGTAATTGTATATTGTGTTTAAATTATAATTAAGAGAGCAAGTCATTTACCCTCAGTGCTCTTCCTGGATGGGGTCCCAGCGTCCTGGTCCACCTCACCCTGCTCCACCTGAGCTCTGGTGGATTTGGAAGGGGATAAACAAGAGAAAAAAGAGGCCAAACTCTTGAAACTCCTCCTTTTTGGCCTCTTCTTTTTTGTTATCTTCCCTCCTTTCTCCTTTCTACCTCCCTCGATAACCACTACAGGCGTCTCGTCAACACGAGGATGGAGCTCCGACGTGTGGTCGGTTGGAGTCAGTGCTGGTCGGCGATGGGCTCCATCCAGGCACTCAACTCCTCCCTCCACTTTCTCTCTACGAGAGTGTCGCTGTCCCATAATAAACGCAAAAAAAGTCGCTGTACACACTGTAAACACTGCTGAAACATTCAACTCCTAACTCGCTACAAAGAGACAATTCGAATTTCGCTGGCTATAAATTCTTAGAATTCACATTCCAATTATGACGAGTGCTGAAGCACAAACACAGAAACACAGAAATGTATAACTGGTGTCAAAATTTAATAAATCCAATACATTTTAGTTTATTTTGTAATATTTTGATACATTTTATCTTCTTTTATTAACCTCAGTGTGTCACTATTATAATAAGATAATTTGCAGATTTAGCATGCCAATAACTCTTAATACAATTACAATTTAAAAAGCACAGAAGCCCCCTTTCTCCATATGTAGATCTCATACATTTTTAAATATGTTTTCTTTCAAGCTACTTTGTTATAGTTTACTATAGTTACTATATGTATAATTTCCTTTTTTAAACACATTTAAATAGTTTTCTTTTGAACATTTTCTATTTATTTGAGACATTTGTATTTTAAAAATTGCGTTTACTCATATTTCAGCATTACTTGTATAAGATATCATTTTGCAACTATAAAATAAACAAAAATAAATCAAACTGAATTATTTTAATAATAATATAGTTAATTATTATCACGAAGCACTGTTTTAGTAATAGTTTATTTTATAATATAACTCCCATAATATCTTGATATTTTTTATTAAATGAATTAATTAATCTTACATTGTTGATTAGTCCAAGGAAATCCACTTAGCACGCCTTTGGTGGCCCCCGGATCCGTTTGAATTCACTATTAAAGTGGACCTATATTATGCCCCTTCACACAAGATGTAAAATAAATCTTTGATCTCCCTATTGGGTGAATATGTGAAGTTTCAGCATAAAATAGCTCAAAAATATTTTGTATAACTCTTTGAAACCTTTTAGGATTTGATCTCTGAAAATGTCAAACTGAAAATTTCAAAGGAAGTGATAATTGATCCATTTGTTATTATGCACCTATTGTGTAAATACATTTTTTTATGACTGACTAAATGCCTGCATGCAATTACCTCTGTACCTCTTCATTTATGTAATTGCATTTGTAAATACACTGTTAACAGTCCCTTACACCTTATCCCACCCTTAAACCTACCCATACAACCAAACCCGTCCTTATACCCACCTCAAGAGCACCAGAAGTGTTCTGCAATACATTATAAACACAGTATGTACATTGTATTTATTTGTTGATGCAAGTACATGATGGTTAAGACCACCTGATATAAAGTGGGACCTAATATTGCATATAAAAATACATTTGTGGAAACTTGACATTTGTGTGTTTATTTTAAGAAGCGGACTGTCATTTTAAAATCAAATGAGCTACAAATGCCAATGCGATTGCAAAGCAGCACTTTCAAAACAAACATCTTTATGATAACCTGAAAATGTCAAAAGAAGTGGCTCAGAAAAAGGCAACTAGTGTTTATTTGCATATCCTAAAACTCCACATTCATATTCCTGCTAATTGTATATTGCAATATATTAAGCCAATCTTCAGCAGGTCAAAACTTTAACAGCAGATGAGATGGCTGCTTCTCACTCAGAGCTGCTTATGCTAATAAATAAGAGACAGTCACTAATGGGCAGGGCTTTCCCCCTCTAATGACACATACAAAGGAAGATTATTAATCGCTTTATATTTAAGTCTTTCTGCACTGTTTTTATCAAGTGTGATTATAAAAAAATGAATTTTACCGTTAGAAGCTAGATATTCACACAATGTTGCCACACAACTGTTTTTACACCCTTACAAAATAGATTTTTTCATCATAGGTGCCATTTAACAAAAGAAATACTGCAAGAATGCCTTAAAAAAAAAAAAAAAAAGAGTCCTAATTAAATTGTAACATCCAACATTCATCTACTGGGTCAACAACTCATTTATTCATTTTCTTCTCGGCTTAGTCCCTTTATTATTGAATAAATCAAAATGTCTGCTGACATCTAGTGGTGACAATGCCAAAAAGTAAATAAAACTATTATTTGGATTTTCTTTGCATGGTCACCGCTAGATGTCAGCAGACAAATTGTACAGAATTTACTGCTTAAATGCTTGTAAATTTGAAGTGAGAACACTATTTGAGAAAGGTTACACTGTATTAAAAAGTTTAGCATTTCTAAATCTTACATATATACTGATGTTACCTCGAAAGTTTGAAAAAAAATGGGTCTCTGCAACAAATTAAACATTATATAGATTTTAAACA